TGAATGGACTGAAATCCACGCTGGATCCCTATGTATCCTTCTGCTCCTGTGTCTCTTCACATATCCAGCTCTTATTAAGTAAGAGTATCATAAAAGCCTCTTAGACTGAGGTCTGATTTTTCAAAAGTAGCATCAGTATCTTCAGAAGTATTAGTAGAAAGCATCTTTGCTGTCTTATGTTTCCAGCAAGAGTATGACATTGTGCTAGGTTACCTTCTTGTCACCATATATATACATATATAAATATATACATAAATACTGACCACTGGTGATTGTACTTCACGTGCCAGTAAAGAGAAGCATCTTCTAAGACTTTGTCAATACTTCTATACTGACAACAGCACGAGATCTGCTGACACTTGAGGTCACCTCTAATTTGTCATCAATGCACTTTCCTGTTGGAAGAGTTATTTGGAATATTTCCCCTAAACCCCAAACAGACACCATATCAGCACCACAAAGGCTGATGTGCACCCAAGCTCCCAAGGTAAGGTGTAAAATTCCCAGAGGAAACATTTTCTCAGAGGAGAACACGTGTTTCTCTCTATAAATAACACTTCAAGGTAAGGGATAAGAAACCATATAATAATTAAACATTGTGTCTGGATATATCACCATGAGAGCCCTCTTTATTATTATTGTGTTAAGTATGTCTACATATATACATGCCCGCATACCTTTTATTTTTAATGGAAAATTCCATGGTTTGCACTGGGACAGTCACTTGTATAGATTTTAAAAATAAACCAACCAAAGTAAGCATGATTAAATTGCGTTATTTGACTCAAATCAGGACAAAAGCTGATAGAGAAAGCCTATAGTCTGACTAAAGGCAGAGTGTTGCTATTAAATTTTCCTACTTACATAGTTATTCTCTTTGTTCTGTGGATTCTTTTTGATCGCCATAAATTCAATAGACAGGGATTTTCCCCACAAGACCATCTATCAGCCTTCACCTTGCTCCGTTCACTCACCTTTTCTGGGCTTGGGCTCCCAGCCAGTCTTGTGTTGTCTCTCCTATCTCCCTGTTCCTCACTGACTTATCCATTCCCAGTTGTGTCTGTCTATTCTCCCCCCCCAAGGTAGCTCAGCTTCCAAATCTGGAGTCTGGTTTTAGAGCCCCTGTGTTTGAGTCAGACTCAAACCAGTTCCCAATGCCAGGATTTCACAAGAACACCGACAGAGCGCAGGGCAATTAAAGAAAACAAAAGCAAACACCACCACAAAACACAACGGGGGGATGGCACAAGGAGAGGTGGGTCAGCAGAGCTTTCCAGCAGGAGCAAAACAACACATGTTTTCCCTCACCCAGGCTCTGAAACGGCTGAATCATTTTGTTTTTATCCGAACAATGTCGCCTAAGACACCAGGCACGAAACATTCCATCTCAAATGATTCAAAGCTGGCAAAAACATGAGCAACTGAAAATAGACGTGCAGCCAACACGCTGAAAGGAACAATTCTACCTGCAGAAGGTTGCTGCTCCTCCTGCCATCTACCTAATGTAAGCACATTGATTTTTCATGCTGGTTTGGGACAGCAAAGGGCAATAATAAGGTACATCTGAGGTAAAAATTACTCTCAAGTGCAACCCTGCCACTAAAAGATGCCACCTCAGTATAGTTCTGTATATTTTAACATATTTGCTTTAAAAACCACTAATTATTAGAGCTATTGGCTAAAACAGTGCTCTATAGCCCACATGAAAATATATGAATTATTCATATAGAGCTGCTGCTCACTAAAAGAAAAAGGAAAAATATGGTCAACAAGGTGTATGTTCATTTTAACTCACAAACCAGAATTACAACAGCTTGTAAACACTGCAAAAATGAGATTTCTGAGTTACTGGCTTAACGATTTGCCAGATAGACAACAAACTTATTTTACATTAGGAGCACATGTAATGTGTGGAAAACTAAGTAGCTATGGACAGTGATAGAATATAGTGGCTTTTCTGAAAGGATCTTTGAGGAGGTTTTACTAATAAAATAATATGTAAGGTACTTAGATTACCCAGCCAAGATGGGATGAATAAGTGATTAATAAACAGAACTGGCAATATAGTGGCACAGGTTTCATCTTAGCTCTAATTAGGCAATCAGCAAAATGGACAGCAAGTGAAAAATTCTCACACTTTCACTAAGGATGGTGATGCAGGAATTGCCCTGATTTACTTGGAACACGTTCAGGAAGGATGGAGGAAGCACGTTCACTCCACATCCATACAAATATTAATACTTATTAGCAGAGGGAAGACCATACAATAAAACAAACATACAGAAAAATTTCTGCTGACTCGTTCTGCAGACTTTCAGCAGTGGGTGCCATGAACTGATTACTGACTTAATGGCCTCCAACATTCAGTCAGAATGAAACACATTCCTGCAGAGGCAGCTAACAAAGCTTAGGTGCTGAACTGGGAAATACAGACAAGCTTTTTCATGCCCTCAACACCTGGCGATGCCATTCCAACACTAACTCTGCCTTGAAAAGGCAAAATTTCAGCGAGATTCAGCAGAGGTGAGTGCACCGTGTGGGATCCCTGAGCTAAGTGGCACAGAGTTCAGCCCACATCAGTTTTCCTTCCATATGATCTGGCACGGCCATGCTTGTTTTAATGAGGAGTGAACACCTGTGCACATCTATTTTTTTGGTGGCAAACCCACACCACATTCATTGGACACTGATGCCTGATCCAAACTCTGCTGCTCATTCTCATCGAAACAAAGCCTTGGCAGGCTTTGCAAGCAGCACACAAACTTCTCCATGCTGGATCCTTTAGGTTTACAGAACAGCACAGTTTTCATATCATCATTTTTCCCAAGCAGCAATTCAGAAAGAACCATCCCTTCAGATTGCTGAGAAAAGAGCATGATGGGGGTTACTCAGAGGAATAGATGCTGCAGCTACAACTGCTCTCATTATGTACATATGAGATGCCTCGGTGTTTCTCGCTCCTGATTACATGAGCAAACATTTTTAGTATGCAAAATCCTATTAACTCAAGGGGATTCTGCATAATTTTATAACAGCTCCACTCGTGCTGTTTGATCGGCTGGGTCAGCAACAGACAGATGGCAGAGAATTAATTCTGAGGCTGTTTGAACACCGTGCTGGAGTCAGGGTTCCCTCTGTGCACCCCACTCAGGAAAACCAGAACTGAAACCCACTACACCCAAAAGGAAGACTCCAAAGAAGGAAAAGATGGGAAGTAATTTCCTTTTTACAAATATGTGGATCCACAAAGGGTAAAAAAAGCCAACCTAAATGTCAGGGCTTCTGTCCATATCAGAGGAAGAGCAACCAGTCAAAAGCACAAGAAACAGAAGTGTAACAAATATTAAATAATAACAAAATATTTCATTCCATATGGACAGGACATAGTTCACTTATTATTTCTTCTGTCTCCCATGCTCACTCCATTATTAGTTGTTGGTAGCCATCCCTCACTTCTTGATGCCCTACCACCATCAGCAACAGCTTTCACAAATATTTTCTTTTCTGCCTTTTCCCTCTGTATCTTTCTGTTCTAAGGGGAAATAGAGGAATTTTACAGCAGTCAGCACAAAGAAGACAAATGGAAATCCTTTGATGTGCTATTTACCCTGTCCCAAAAAATCCTAAAACAAAAAGAACATTTAATCTCAAAGACGTAAGGCAATAAAATAAAACAATCCAAGAGATAACTCTGAACCCATCCCTCCAATAATTAAGGTTTTCTCTTATTCCACTTTTTGATCACTCCATAATTCTGAGGTGCAGTGATAAGCATTATCCAGTACTTACTGAATTGTGCTTGACATATATTTAGATGGCAAACTATTAGTAGTCCAAAAAATGGTGCCTAAAATTAAATTACTAATGCACTGTTTCCCCAGTGTGGGGAAGATGGTCCCAAAAGTAAACCATGATCTGGCTGGGATTTGCAAGAGGAACTCTTGAGCTCTTGTGATGTAAAACTTGGGTCTGGAAAACCTTCAAAACAGGGAGATAATTAAACTGATACAGAAATATCTGGGGTTTTTAAAAGGCTGTAAATCAGAGGTGTTATCTACACATAAACTTGGAGGAGTCAACTCAGAGACCCACATGAATATAGTTATTCCAACTATTTCATTCATCCAGAATCACTGACTTTTGGTAACTGGAAAAAATTTTTTTCTGTTTTTTTTTGTTTGTTTATTTGTTTGGTTGGTTTGGGGTTTTTTGTTTTGTTTTTTTGTTTTGTTTTTTTGTGAAACATTCCAGCTTCCATCCCTATTTCTCACACGTCAGTTTGCATTATGAATGTTTCCCTGAAATCCAGGCTAATTAATCCTGCTTCAGAAGTAAGGGCTTAGGGGTGTCAGCCATTCCTGACAACCCTTTGGACAAACAATTCTCTTCCATTTGGATTCTTAATTAAGCTTTCTGAAAGTACTTTAATATAAGAAAATAGTGGGGGGAAAAGGTCTAGTAATTGGCTAATCCAAAGGAAGATTTCATTTTATTTTGGATATAATAGATGGCAACTTCAGCCTCTGTCAGTGCATTAAATTAATCCTATCTGTGAAACTCAGCCCAGCTAAGGCCCAACTTTGGCCTCGCCTCCGAGGGAGTCAGAGGTTTTTTCTGGTTAACTCAGCAGATGCCAAGCTGCCCAGTCAGTTCTTGGATCCCTCTCATATGGAATCTTGAATCTGTCTTAGATGGGACTGGAGATAAACACAGAGCAAGGCAATCGAACCACAAAACACCAAAGATTCCGTGCTTTGTCACGTAATCCTCAAATTCATTAACAGTGCCACCACACCTGCTAAGAGTGGGTTTTCCTCTCAGACCTAACTATTCCAGGACATACTTACTGCACTACAGAAAGCCAAAGTTTTCAAAAGGAGAGTTCTCTCACTCTACAATTGTTTCCAGCCTTGGGCACTGTAAATTCTCCACAAAACCAAGTCTGCACAGAATTATCTTCCAAATATTTCAGGGGGGAGAGGAGTATTCGGGTTTTTTACCTGAAATGGAGACTGGCTGTTGTAATTCTTGATCTCCTTGTTGGCTCCCCGAACAGCAGGACTCTTGCACAGCTCTCCTGAAAATGAGAGAAAAGGAAACTTGTTAGTAAGGGTCTTCACGTAAATAAGGGTCTTCAGGTAAAAATTATGACTACTAAGAGGCTGTGAGACGTGTTGCTGTTTGGTATATAGTCATATAAAGTATATATATAGTCATAAAAGACTAATTAAATAAAATACAAATAAATTACATAAAACAAATAATCTGACAACTTCAGTTGTTAAAATAGTATTTTAAATATAACAGGGCTTCAGGTGCTTTGCAGTGTATCAGACTAGAAACAACATGTAAGTGTAAAAAATTTGTGGAGAAATGGAAGAGGCAAACATCTTATTAAATTTTTGAGAAACTGTACTGAGAAAATTCTGTATCTGACAAATCAGACTTCGTAGAAAATATGTTATTTCGAAATGAAATTTGACTCCAAAATAGGTTTTTGCCTATTCTGTAGGAAAAACAGTGCAGCAAGCAGTTCCTGGGATGAGTTATATCCTTCCCTGCTGCTAGAAATTAAGCAAAGCATTTTTACCACTTGTTTTCTTGGGGTTTTCTTCAACATATCTTTAGTTTTAAAATTTTATGTGTGATTATTTTTTGAATACACCTGAAATTATTTGATCTCTCTCTGCACACTGCACTGACCTGTCTTACTGTCCCTCTTTTCCCCTAAAAAATACTAAGAGTTATAGTGCAAACCAAACACAGCCCTTCTGAAAAAAGAAAAGTTGGGCTTCAGACCCTCCAAACTAAGAAAATGTGCAAAGAAAATGTCTTTAAAAAAAAAAGAATTATTTTTATACTGTATTGTTTGAGTCAGTAATTTCCACTTGCCATCAAACATGACTGACCACAATCTGGTGGAAATCCCCTGTGGCTCTGACTGGGTTCCCAGAATTCTGGCTGATTCTTGTATAGACTTTATTTCCCATCTGCCATCTTTAATGTTCCTCTTGGGACCCCCTGCAAACCAATTCCCATTTCAAAATGTTCTGTATTTCCTCCCCATAAATGTTGCTTTCCATTTTGTTGTGCTTTCTGGATTTCCTGACATGTTGTGTTACTGGGTTCTACCTAATGAGGTATTTTGATGTGCCACCTTGCACTTTGAGCAGCAAATTTGCAGTCAGACAAAACAATCCCATAGTTCAGCTATTTCAGTGACAGAAATGAAGCTTATTTACCAGACTCTGAGTCACAGGTTAATGTGCAACAATTATGATTGGAAATAATTTCTGTCATTGTATTTTCTGATTTCCAACACTGTATTCTTCATCTCATTAAGTTTCCTTCATCACAGGGCTGCCCTAAGTTACCTGGAAAGGAAGTTTCTGACTGAAATAACAGAACAGATCCTGTCTCAAGATGGTATGTTAACAATAATTTTTTAATTATATATAATTAACTGAAATAGTCTCCTTTGCTTGCACTGAAATCTGCACCCTAGGTGTGCTCTCTGTATCTCTAAATACAGGGTGATCAATGCCCAACTTCGATCAAGAACTTGAGGATGTAAATAATTATACTGAGAAATATACTGCAATTATTGCCTGATTATTCATTTGATCATGAGAATAAACAGTTCAACTTTACAAAACCAAAATAATTACATATTTAAAAACTCTCTATAAATTTAACTGATCTGTCTTCAACAAAACAAAAACATGTAAAGGGATTTATTAATTAAATAGTTTTGATTAGTAAAGTTTTGCCACAAGCCACAGAGTTGCTCAAGATTAAAAAAAACAAACAAACAAAAAAACCACCTTTTTTTTTCAAGTTTCATTTGCTTATTTTTTTTTTTTATTCTTCTCAAACAAACAGAAGCATTTTTAGCTTCATCCTCTCTCCTTTTTGTGTTGTACCCATCTGCTGAGCATCAAGGAGAAAAAACCAGGAAGAATAAGCAAAAAAAACATTATTTTGATTACTTTTCTGTTACTAATTCAATGGAAATTCCACATTTTAGAGCTCTCTGTTGTGAGGGTGCTGCCTAGAAATGCCAGAAGTCCTTTTGCATGTGCTCTGACAACCTAATAACTTCTGATACTGGGAACTTAGTATTGTTCATTTCTTGTATCACAAACTGAATATGTAGTAGCTTTTTAGACTTCATAAGATTAACAAGAATTTCACAGAGAACTGTTTGCTTGGGAGCAGATTAGATTCAATTGGTTGTCTGAGAGCTAATTACATGATTTAATATAGCAATAATTGTCATTTAGAATCCAATCCTCTGAGTGGAAGAGGGTTTATTTCATCCCAGAATTTTTGTCTGCAAAATACAGAGGCATAAGATGCACTGAGATACTGCAAGGCCATGAAATAACTCTCAAAACCAGGGGTTTACTCAGATCAGGACTGAGCTTACACTCAGGAAAACAGACTGCATCCAGGAAGTATCCCAAGAAACTTCCCCAGGGAAGACTGGAAGGCAAAATCAAATGGGTAACGACTCCATCTACAGGAACCTGGAGGTAACGAGGACAGTGATGTCTTTCCCGTCCTCTCCAGCCAGAAGAGGCCAGCACCATTCCTTCCACACGAACAAATAACGACTTCCAATTCAAAAAAAGTACACTAAAAAAGTAGGTTATGCTTCCCAAAGCCTTATGAAAACACTTTTTATTCCCACATACACTCGACTAAGGGAAACAGAAGGATGACTGCAGAGACAAGGTGTTAAAATTCCATTCACAAAGCCAAGTTAATGACTGTGAAAATATTTCCAAATTTGTAGATGCGGTTTCAGTTGGAGTCTCAAAATCTTCCACAGAACAATTTCTTCCACTGAGGTCAGGAAAACACATCCCTATGTGGGAAATACTATCACACCATGGGATTATTCCAATTCATTATTAGAATTACATTAATTAATTATTAATTAGTCTAAGGAAGATCTCGTACTGCTTAACCTTTGCTACAAATGTATGGTCTTGTAAACAACTATCGCCACTGCAATAAAACAGTTACTAAAAAAAATTTGGGAATTTAAGTTCATATGTGTGTTATGGTCTGGGCTTTGAAATTCTTACTCAGGAAAAGTGAAATAAATGGGGTTAGAATTATTATTTTAAAATAATTTTCAATAGAAATGCTTCAATTATACTTGTTAAGATCTTGATGTGAAGCGTAAATGCAAAATTTTTGTTCTGTCAGTAGTCTTGAAAAATGCCAAATTATCCCCAAAATTCTTTTTTTTTTTTTTAAAGAGGTTGAGCGTATTTTAGACCTCATTGAGGAATCTGTCTTTAAAAGACTTCAGGAAAAATTTAAGATGGCAATCAACTAAGAAGCAGATGCTTTAACAGATGTTTCACTATTTACAGTCACATCTTGTGCTTTCCTAATTCAATGTAATATTATATGTGCTGCATTTTAACATAGCTGTAAAACTCATTCCATCCTCATCTCATTCCTGAGAACATAAAATGCTATAAAATTAAATCATTCCATTATTTGTAAATGACTACGCAAGTTGTAAACAGCAAAGAATCTTCTGTATAAACTACAGAGACATTTCCAAGGTATTTTCTAATTATTTCTTACTTAATTCTACCTTAAATTCCAGCAGACTAGCGATAAATTCTGTATAGGAAACAAATATTTAGCTATGATACAAAAAAACAACCAACCAAACAAAAACCAAAACAACCAAAGCTGGTAGAACATATTGTTTTATTTTCTATTTAATATGTATTTCTGGCTACCTAGGATGAGCAGCTTTATTTGTAATCAGTGAATAAAACACTAAGAGAACTGTTTTTAATTACATTCTTTCTAGTTCCTAAGACTGCTTTTTAAAACCTGAAACACTTCACTGCATATTAAGTAAATCAAACTGAAAATAACAGGTTGCTCCTAACTGTAACTTGCCTCTGTAGATCAATAACAATGGGATATTTATCACAAATGCATTCATTAAAAGTGAGACAACTGCATCTCAGGAAAACCTAACATCAAACTAGTAAACTTTTTCAATAGAAAACTCTCCGAGCCTCTGTTTTTGGGGACGGACATGGAAGTTTTAGCATTTGTGCCTCAATTAGGCCTTTTCTTTCTGGCTGTGTGCTGTTCTCTCACAGTACTGGTTTCCAGTGGGACTGCACTCACCTTCCCTCAAAGCAAGACATTCCTCCCCCCTTGGCCAAGCAGAGGGGACCCCAAGCACAGCAGTTGTTGCCCCATCTTTCCCCTGAGTTGCTTCTCTAAAGGGAACTTACAGGAGAGATGGAGCGGGACTATTTACAGGAGCCTGAGTGCCAGGACAAGGGGGAATGGGTTCAAACTGAAAGAAAACTGAAAGATAAAATTCTTCCCTGTGAGGAACTGGAACGACTTGCCCAGAGAAGCTGTGGCTGCCCAGTTCCTGGAATTGCCCAAGGCCAGGTTGGACAGGGATTGGAGCACCCTCGTCCAGTGGAAGGCTTGGAACAACATGATCATCAAGGTCCCTTCCAGTGCAAACCACCCTGTGATTCTACGGTTCCATGACCTCTCAGCTGCCACAGGGAACCTTTGTGTCCCTGGAGGAGGGCAGTGGGGCTCTGCCCAGCTCTCACCTGGTTGTAGAGGGCGCAGATGTGCAGGGCCGTGTTTCCAGAGGCGTTCTGGGCGCACATGTCCGCGCCATAGAACAGGAGGTGCTCCAGGTGCTGCACGTGTCCGTACCTGCAGGCCTGGTCAGACATTGATATTTTGGTTATTTTACAACCTACATCTGCTTATTTGGGGAATGTTAATTTAAGGGATCAAGGAAATACTACGTTTGGAACTTTTTATCCACTGATAGTTATGATTCAAATGTGAAAAGCAATGGACAGAAGAGTTTTTTGGTCCTGCTACTCCTCAGAATGTTGCCCAGTAGATGGCACTGAAGATGGTCAGATTTCCAAAGCTTCTTCCTTCTATTTGTGGAAATCTGGCCAAAGTTCAAGTAACAACATTCCTGGTTCTGTGATGTCAACTAGGCACATAGCATACACATGGCATTGACGCAAGAGAGGGAAAAATCTTCAGGGGTCACTTTATCTGTCACACAAATAAAAAGTTAGACCCCCAATACTTGGAAATAAGCCTCTAAGATTTCACTGCAATTGGAAACTTTCCTGATCAGCAAATAAGTTTGAGAAAAATCTCAGTATTTCTACTCAGCAGCCTCATTTACTTGACTATCTTCTTCTCTCTGGCACACTGACAGAGCACCTCCCAATTCCTAATATTTTTAAGTTCACACCATCTCAGATCATCATCATTCCTATATAATACAGAATTTAGGGTAAGAGAAAGAGGTATAGAAAGCTGTTGAGTCTGTCTCAGGTACCTATTTACTGTTGAATCCAGTGGGAGGTATAAACTGACACACCTGGAACGAATCTACAATTTGGATGAGAAAAATTAAGTGTACTGTCAGTGCACAAATTAAATCTGTGACAGATCAGGGCTCCCAGTCCAGAGAGAGGCAGGTATTTCCAGAAGATATCCTTATTATCACTATCCTGGCCCAACATGAACTGCCACCTTTCCCCTTTACTATAAGGGTAACCCAGAGACTTATCTCCAAAAGCTAAAGATTGTGTTAGCAAAATGAAAACTACATTTGCTAGCAATTATTTCCTTACCATGCAAGGTAACTTCAGCTTCTGCACACAGACAACAACATATGGGACTGTATCATATCACCATCCTTAATTCATTGAGAAATGCTTGGATTATTGATTACTGAAAACAGATTGCCCCTAATCCAGGTGTAAACTTTGTTTTATTTAGGATTACAACCAGTACAGTGGGTTTGGAAAGCTCTGTTTTATTACAAGAAATGATGGCCTTATGTGTATGAGGCTGGATTTTAAAAATAGGGAATTCTTGTCTGTATCTTCAGATTTTTTATGATTACTCAAACTCATCCATACCGAGAAAAAGGCATAAAGTAGCTGCAATGACACTGGGATTACTACAATCTTTAAACTTTGTAAATTACTGAGTTTATCATTATGGAAAGAGAAATTAATAAAGCATTCGTACACAACTGCTGTATAATATTTAGATGTTTCTGGAGAAGACAAGAGTTCAAATATATAAGTTTTTACGAATCTCAGAAGATTACTTTTAAAAAATATTTTTTCATTATGGAGCACACTATCACTTCAGCCACACACCGAGTATGTAAGAGAGGAAAGCAGAACTCAAACACCAAGAGGAAAAGTATTAGGAACCCAGTTTTCACACAAAGAAGGAGTGAAAACTGACTCAAACTGTGAGTTTGTAAGACTTTACTATCCATCAGTGCAACACACTGAGGGATCCCAGCAGCAGGATCCCGAACACAAATCTTCCTGTAAAGTTCACCAGAGACAAAGCAGAAAGTAGTCTGACACATACACAAGAAGCACTGCCAAGGATACCAACACTGGCATCTAACAAAAAGCTACACTCTTTTACTGAAGTGCGACTAAAACAGATGTTAAACCTCAAGAGTCCATGACATAAATACAACCAGTGCAATTTCTGCAGCAAAATCCACAGTAACCGTAGGATTTCAAAGTTACAGAACTCCACTGGAACAGTTTCCACTTCTAATTCGCCACAGCAGGATGCATAGTGAATAAATAAATAAATAAATAAATAATACCAAAGCACCCAAAAAACCACAAACAAACAAGACCCCAAAACCAGGAAAAGATGAAACGGAAAGAAATTCCATTCTTAAATGCATGGACTAAAACGTACCCAAAGGGCCTTCAAAATGGTGCTGAACCACAGAACAAACATGGCACATTCCCTCATACAAGTTCAGCTCCAAGCAAAGAATAATCTTTCCCACCTGATGGATTTCTTGCCATCCATTCTCGTCTTTGCAGCTGACTGTGGCGTGTTCATGGAGCAGGAGCTCACAGCAGTAGGGATCCCCTCCCACCACAGCCGTGTGGTACAGCGGGGTCAGCCCACAGCTGTCCTTGTAGTTGGGAGATGCTCCCAGCTCCAAGAGAGTCTAAAAGGAATCACAGACTGTGAAAAATATATTCTGGAGGCACTTCAAGGTTGATACTTGATATATACTCCTTGCTCACCTATTTGTCAGCTGTTAATTTGTGCCCCAGCCCATTTTAAGCAAGATATTTTTAAATGAACAAATGACCTTGGAAGAACTGGGATCTAAAGGAATGTCTGAGGATAGTGCAGAAAGAATGAGTGGCAATGAGTCCAATTTCCATCCTCTTCCTAAGTTCCCATATCTCAATCCTGCAAATACTACATCACCTTTGCAGCACATTCACCTCTTCAGCTACAAGGTGCTTTATCAAAAATGTCATGCAATTTGAATATCTGTCAAAAGCAAATGAGCAAAAGCCATGAACTTAAGGCTTAATCAGTGGTTTAAGAATACTTGTTAAAATACAAAAGAAAACAGAAGAGGCTGTGTTAAAATAGAATATGTAATCCAGGCTACGGGCATTTGATTTCAAAGAGATGACAATAACTCTATTCCTATTTTTTCTGACAGTTCTTTCCCAATGTATCAATGGATAAGCTTAAATTTCACCCCTTTTTCTTCCTATCAAAAAAAAAAAAAAGAAAAAAAATCCAAAGTGAAAAGGCCTTTTATTGAAAGCAAATCCTAAGATTTGAAAGTCACAAGAAAGCACAAGGACATATTAAAGGATCCACAGAGGACAATACAGTAATTAACTGAAAACATTCTCCTTTATGTATCTTTTTAAATAAGGTAATATATCTTTTGGTATTTAAAGCATTTACCTTGAGGGCTACTTGGTTCTTGGCCCTCGCTGCTTTGTGCAGAGCTGTCATTCCATCTTTGGCTCGGAAGTCTAAATGTGCTCCTCCATTTTTCAGAGCTTTTATCACTTCTACTGTGTTGTCAAGCTGAGCTGCCAAAGTTAGGGGTGTTTCTGGAGAAAAAAACAAACACAGCATGTACTTGGAAAAAGGTGAGCAAAATTATGCAATAAAGAACGTTTGCTTTAAAAAATGTCAAGTTAAAAATGCTGTTCAAAGAAAATCATAAATTTTCAATTATCTCCTCTGGACAGCAAAACCACACAGATGCCATTAGCCCCGAGTTCTGAAGGCAACAGAAAGGATGTGTGAAATTCAACCTTGTAATAACTTTAATTGTTAACAAACTCAAGGTATTAGTTTTATTGTTCTGACCTCCACTTTCCAGGTCATGATAGTTGGGGTCCAGTCCTCGGTCCAACATCTTGGTCATTTTTTCCACAGAGAGATGGTGGACATGATCCATGAATTTTCTCAAATTAGCCTGAAACAAAGAGTGACAAATGAATCATCCTCTGATTTTAAATCTAAGAATTTTGACTAAAAGTGAAATATTCTGTCAGTTGATGTCAACATCCATTGACAGCACTGAAATTAGTTAACACACATTCCTGGAGAATGACTTTATACTGAGAACATAAAATATATGGTTTATAAAGCTCAAAAGTCAATGTAAGAGAGTCTTGTTTTTACACTTTTGAGGGAAAAATGAGTGATTCATTCAGTAAGAAATTAGTCTGATGTGTAGTGATCATTATTATTGTTATTCTAATCTGCAAAGTAGTCCCAGATCTACATTTCTGCAGCATGTTGAAAGCACACTGGATTTACAAAGGAAGGTTCAGTTAAAATTACATTTATATCACAGAATCACAGAATCAATTAGGTTGGAAAAGCCTCTGAGATCAATTTATATTTATACATATATGGAAGATTCAAGCATGGGAACTTTTCTGTGGAAAAACATTTCCACATTACAATTCACACACTGGCAGCACACGCTGTTTGTTTTTCAGCATCTGGTAATGAACTCCTCCTTATTTCCAGTTTCTCACACTACTTTGCTCAGCAGACAATTGGTAAATTCTCCCAGAAGTTGGGAATACCTTGGTATGGAGCTTGGCCAGCTGCTTTTCATCCAGGTTGAATTGTTTGTACACTCTTTTCTTGTATCGAAACTGAGGGAGGAAAAGAAGAATAAATTTTAAAACTTGGAACTCATAATTTTTTGACCTTATCAGAAAGTATCATCCACAATTATGTGATTTAGGCAAAACAAACAAAAAAAAAGGGTTGGTATTTCATTTTGACTATTCACCAATAATCAGCAGTCTGCTTAACATACCGATATCATAATTTTACAGTTCATTTAAGCAAAAATTACACTGAAAAGAGCTTGTCCCTGAGGATTTCCAGGCATTTTCATTTACAGTCTCAGGCAGAAAGAACTGGGAAAGCATGTTAAATAAAAAAATACACATTTCAAAATATCGGTTTAGCATTTCTGAAATTACAAAAAAAAAAAAAAAGGATTCCTGAAAAATCAGTGTAGGAGGAACTTTACAAACATGGGAATAGTTGTCTTGATGTGGAACAGGTCTGGTTTTGTGAATGAGCTTCAGAGGATTGTCTCTTTTTTTTTTTTGCTGAAACTCACATTTTACCCTGAGCAATTTCTACTCTCTGGCTACAGCATCAAAAATCATGGGAGGGGTTCCACAGTTATAATTTACTACTAATAAAATTTACTACTATAATTTACTAATTGTCCTATGCAGAATTCAAAGAATGCAGCATTTCTGTTGGACAAGGGGACTGCACTGAACGAGGCTTTAACACCAGCTTCTCACACTTTCAACTCAACAGTGAGAATTGTGCAAACAGTGAACATTCAGGAAACAACGTGACAGGAAAAAAAATTTTAAAAACTCAACATTTAACTGGGTATTTAATTTGTTTGCAGCTGTAATATGAACATCAAGGATTGAATCTCTGAAATAAACTGCTAGAAAATGTAAAACTTGAAGCTTTCTCAGGGCCCTGGTTCTTTTCTCTTGGATTTGTGGTATAGCGGAGTAAGTTTATTAACTGCACATTATTAGTGGTTGAAGTACCCCCACACAGGCAACACCAAAATTAATTAAACACCAGTTTCATGCCCCAGTTTCCTGCTATAGTGTCTCTGCATGGTCTGGCTCTGCTCCATATTTTTCCAGTGCCATAACAGTTCTGCCCAGTTTATTCCCAGCTGCAAGAACAACAGAGGGGAAATTCCAGTGCATACACACGACTGCTCCACATCCACAGCCTCTCCTCCCTTCCTGCTTTCCCAGGAGACAGACAGGGGAAATCTGTGCACTCTGCAGGATGGCACAGAGAGAACCAGATGGGCAAAAAAAGGCTTCACTGAGACAGAAAGATCTTCTCTTGGGGAGAAAGCAAAGGCTGGTGATCCAGCAACTGCTTCCCTGCTGCTGCAAACACAAATACCTCAAGTGAAGGCACTCCCTTGTTCACAGGCTGTGGGTATTCCCTCAGGAGTCGCTCCTCATCCAAAAACTTCCCATCTCTACCGTTACTTGCAGGCTGGAACAGTCCGTAATTCAGGACATCTTTCAAACTCTGATTCAAAGTGCACAAAATCCGTTGCTTTGCAACCCACACTGAAGCTTCTGGGTTAAATCTAATGCATTTCTGCAAAGAAATTATTTTTTAAAAGATTAATTAATGAAAAAATATTTAAATAATACCTTACGGTCTACAATTTACAAATGCAACAAATAGCTAGAAACACACACAATAAATCTACAGATTCCATGCCAAAACATTTATCAACAGAATTGTATTTTAAATGTGCATTTATAATAACCAATGCCCAAGCACTGTGGAAACACAGGATGTTTCAAGTCTTTCCACAAAATATCAGAGACCACGTTCTTCAGAGAGAGGGGACCTTCGTGGAAAGCCTGTTCAAAAGGGGATGTTACAAGATGTTTAACTATCCATTTGATTCTGGGATGTTCTGATATGACAATCAGTTTGATCCACAAGAACTGTACCCAAAAACGGTATTTAGGCAATAATTCTAATTCATTTTTTGCTACATTTATCTTAGGGTAAGTTTGTGGGAGGAACAGAGAGAACTGTGAAGCAACAGAGGATGTGAAAACCTTGAAAATCCTTTCCGGTTCTCTGTCCCCTCGTGATTCAATATGGGATGCAGGGATTGCACAAGGGCCAAAGAAAAATGTTGATGGATATATATCTTTTTTTCTCAGTACAGTTCTATGAGTTACTGCAGTAGTAATGTCAGTAACCACTCTTGAGGCCTCTTCTGAAGGCCTTTGGTACTCCCCCATTGTAACTGTACATAAAGTAGGAGTAAAAATAAGATTGATGTTCAATAAAGAGTGAAGTATTTCATTTAACTTTATCCACACTATCTGTTGGCATCTTTTTAAAGTCCTGAGGCCATCCATAAGAAAATGTTAGTTTGTCATTTACAACTAAACGTGTTTATCCTGGCAGAGTTCTGCATACAGCTGAAAATGATCTCTGATCCCACAGGCACAAATCACATAATAAATTCATTTGAATAATTCAATTCTGAAATTTGAGGACCAAATTCAAAGGCAGACATCACAATATTTTCTGTGTTCACAGTGTCTTCTTAGCTGCTGCAATAGTATGTGGCAAAAATTTTCAGTAGTAAAAAGTACAACCAGGACATGAAGGACTTTCAATTTACAACTGTTTTTAACTGAGCAAACACTACAGTCAGCCAGACCTTTTTATATATTCATCAGAGCAAATGCATGCACGTGAGATATTAGATTTTTTCACAAATAAAGCTGGAGAGGAGATAGTTTTCATTCTCCTCAGGTATTTTATATTTCAAGGTAAAATATAAAATGAAAAGTTGGGAGGTTTTAGACGTTGAAGGGAAGGAGAGGGGGAAACAGAAAGTTGATTATGAAGAGTATTTTCCTTCACAAACATCCCATTAGTTACAACACCAACTGAGCCATTTTAAATTACCATGTTCCTTCTGAACCTCACTTTCCCCATGACTCTTACATGGATTCAAACTTCAATACAAAGGTCAGGTTCAAACATCAGTAGTTTACAGTAAAATTTCAACTCTCAAAATTATCAGTTCCAAGGTATGTTGTGAACTTAACATGATCCACACATTATCCACACATTCTGAAAGAATATAGGAAATGTTATTCAAATAGGAAAAAACAAATATATTTTTGAAATTACATGGTTTTGGTTTTTTCCCCCAGGAAAGTATTTCTTGCATGAAACAAACTAATTTTGGACTTGTATGGCTTTGTTTTGCTTTTGAAAATACAAACCAGTAACTTCTGTCCACGCTTTAAGTCTGCTGGGTTCAGTGCACCTTGAGAATTCAACATGTTCAATTTTGTTCAGTCTATGCTTGTGTTCTATCTGTCATTGATAACACTGCAGATAATGGTGTGTATTTCTAATCTCCAAATATATGCTAAACTGGAAAAATTATAAATAATTTCTAATTTCTTCAGAATAGATTTCAATGGAAAAAAAATCTTTTTATGGTGTTTATGCACATTGCACTGGTCATACACAATATTTATCTGCTGAAATATTTTGCTTTCCACAAATCTGACAATGGCACATCCATTTAAAGCATGAGGCCAGGACATAAGAGTTTGACCACCTTCACTGGACTGGCAAGACAGTGAGGAATTCTTTTTGGTGGAATAGCTCAAAAACTTGTTTTAAAATTAGTTATCTGATAACTACACCACTACTGTATTTTTACTACCCTGGCTACAATATTTTAGAGTCCTCAACAGCATAATAAATGGAAACACTTTGAAACTAGTAATTTTACAATGTATTAACAGCCCTTGCTCTTCTAGTAATTCACAAGAAACAAAAATGCATTTATTGTAATAAATATTGATCCCATTAGTAATTTATAATGAATTGAGATCAATGATGTAAAAAGCAAATCGATAACCAAATAACTTGCTACGAAAATGTCTCAGATTTAGATAAGTGGAACTAATGAGAAAAGTGATTATTTATGCTTCCAATGAAGCCAGCAGAATCTACACACAGATTGCTTTAGTTATTAAATAAGTAAGAATTTATTAGATGTACATGGCACGGTGACTACAAGGAAATGAAACAGAAGCCGAGTCAGAAAAGCTGGTCAACTTTTTCTAATCTTCAACAACTTAATACCAAAAAAAAAAAAAATCACAAAATTGGGATAGTTTAATGATAAAGAACAAGACAAACACATAAGAACTACAATGAAACAAAGATGGTTTGCATTGACAGATGTGGGGTCTATTTATTCCACTGCTTTTGTTGCATCCCAAGGCCAGAGGGGATGTGATGGTTTGCCAGCTCCATTCCCTGCAGAAGTGCAACGTTTCTTCAAGTAAGAACCAAAAAAAGAAGCCCTGAGTGGATCAAAACCCCTGTCAAAACCACACTAGGCCACTCAAAGCCCAAGTCCAGCAGCAAGGCAGCACGTCAGCACTGGCTGCTGAAATGCAAGAGCTGCGTTTTTTAGATGAAGCTCTCTGAATATTGAGAGCTGTGGTCAATTATAATCTCCCATTCCTGCACACTGGTGAGAGCACAGGGCACAACAGAAGGGCTGGAAGCAGGGGAAAAATACAACTCATCCCCTCGAGCTAAAGGGAAGATATTAATTCAATGGGAATAATGTTCACCATACAGAATCTCTGAGGAATAACATTTATCCAGTTAAAAAATCTATTAACCAACACATCTCTCATCAGCCTCACGAAGCTGTCAATCACAGAGCTGTGCTGTGACAGAGCAACATGACAAATGGTTTGTACAGCTGTACACACTCCAAAATGTGATTGCCAGAATATCAAAATACAAGTTATTCCTCTCAACAGAAGATGTTGGTATTAAAGATGTGACAACCAAAAAGTAGAAAAGGCAAATGAGAGTTTGGTATCAGGAAAAGCAAAAAAAAAAACCAAACCCCAAGTCACTAATTTTGATTTGTGCTTAGTGTTCAACTTAACTCTCAGAAACATTGCTTCCCTTCCTCAAAATGCCTTCAGGAAACACAGAGTTCACAAGGGGAAAAGTCAAAAAAAGCAGTCTGGCCACACTGCCATCAGCTGGCAAGTCAGATCACCTGTCCAGACCAAGGGCATGGGAACAGATGTCAGCAGTAGCCATGATGTTTCCATTATCAAACTGAAGATAAAAAGGAGGAATATCAGCTGTAAACAGAACGCAGCAATGGACAGTCAGACACAAAATGGAATACAGAGGAATACTTGTGGAAAGTTGCAAAGGAAAACCTAGCACAGATTTGAGGCAGTGGATGGAAACAAGAAAACTTGGAAACAAGTAAAAATGGAGGCATCCTAAGCAAAAATGGGACTTAAACTGCAAATGGGACAATTGCCTTTGTGAGATAAAAACTGCACAAACTATACGTGAGTTTTAGCTAAAAAAAGCAAAGCACTAAAGGAAAAGATTTGTAATCCTAACACCCCCCCCCCCCAAAAAAAAAAACAACTAAACAAACTAAAAAACCCAAAACACACATACACACACACAAGAAAACATAAACAGTGAGTACTGGGAACAAAAAAATAAAGAAAGGATGCAAAAGGATAAAAAACAATGCAGAAATAGAACACCAAGAAGTAGCTGCAGGGCTATAGGGTATGCTATTGCTTTACCAAACTGCCACTTACCAAACAACATTTTGGAGTCAATAAATTCTCATTACTGCAGCAGAGCAGTAAAACAGATGGGCAAAAACCACCTCAAAGAAGTCTTCAGCAGAACCAATCCCATCTCAGCATCAGAATTTAATAAAATATGATTTTAACTTTAAACATAACCCAAAGGGAGCATGGAAATACAGGGTAAAACAAAAGAGTGGAACAACTATGTGTTGGTAACAAAATGATGAAAACATTCCCTTAGAACAACTGGCTGAAAGAACTGATCTCCATGTCTGTGAAAAAGAGCAATTTTAGGCACAGAACATCATCCCTGACAGAGTATCATGCAAAAGGAGAGCTTCTTGACAACAATTACTGGAGGAGAACCAGACTCATTCCACTTATAGGCGGAATCACTTGTAATGTGTTCCTACATGGGCTGACAAAAGAAATGGATACAAGATGACTTAGCTGGGATTCTGACCAAAAAGGCTCAGGGAGGGTGAAGTCATGCCAGGCATCAGAGAGCAAAGCACAAACACAGCAGTTCACCAAACTGTCAATGTCCAAGAGACAAGTGACCCCAGGCACAGGCACAGCTGCCTTCAGGCACAGCAGATTTAGTGCCAAGGTAGAGACTGGGGGCTGCTGAGTGCCAGCTTTGCTGACAGGGAGGAAGGGCTCCAATCTGCCACCAGCGCATGCCCTGGCAGTGACAGTGACCTGGGCTGCCCTGGGAATGCAGCATCTCCACTCTAAGGGCAAACACAACCGAATATTGCAAAGAGAAGAGGAACTACTCTCAGTACCTGCCATTTCCATCTCAACAGCAGGTGGCTGGGGTCATGCCAAGCCTGAGCCCTCTGAGCTGGATGCAAACAAGCTTCTGGTCAAAAGAAATCACACCTGCTGAGCCTCCCGGTTTATTAAATCAGGAAATTAAATGCCAAAGAACACAGCTTTTTGCCCTGCCCTTCTATGCACATATTTGTGGATGTGGATGGAGGGTTTTCTATGCTCTCCATCCCCTCAGTAATTTCACTGAGCTCAGGAAATCTTTCAGTGGCTCATTTTAAATAATTCTCCACACTCCTGTGCTAAGGCTGACACTTGAATGCAGGTGATGCACAGAAGTAATAAGAAATTATTCTTTCTACAAAGCATTGTTTCAATAAATTGGATTATCACCTGAACTGAAAAGGGGACAAAAAGGAACTGAAAACCAAGTGTTCTTGAGGGCTTTGCATAAACTTGCCAAGGTTTAGGTGATCTTTAAAAGTTTCAAATGAGAATAAAAGGGCAGCAAGACAGATTTGCTACAATGGGGGATAATTTATGAAGTTTTCTATAGCAGCACATCCTACGTGTGGTGCTTGATGCTTGCAATGAAATAAAGGCAATTTATACCACGGCCACTACAGATGAGCAAACTTCATTCCTAGTGATTTTGGCTAAGGGTTTATAGCTCCCCAGGGTGTTGAATTTTATCTAAAAACCCTCCACTTGTTTTCTTTTAAACAAAGGTAGGATAATACTTCCTAAAGAATTAAAAAAGCGTAAAACTAAATTATGTCATTTCATGCTTCTTTGATTAAACTGACTAATTTTGAACACCTTGTATGTTAAATTAATTGTAATTATACAGGAAATGGGGTGTATGTTTGCTGTGGCTTTTAGTTATAAAACAGTTCATAAACTATAATCTTCTCCACAGTTTGCTACCCCACATTTGAGCCACCACACCTTCCTGTTTGCTAAGCTGAATCCAGGTTTCACTTTACAAAGAGCTGATAAATTAAATCAGAAATAGATCATCTGCTATAGAACTGTTTGTTTAAAACAACCCAAGTACTTTTCATTAAGAGCTTATTGAAAATGGAAAAAACAAACAAACAAAAAAAAACCAACCCAAAAATAAAGCAATAAAAAGGAACAAATGAAACACAAAATCAGAAATACTTTCTGGTTTATTTCATTTCCTGCAAAAAATTAATTAAAAAAGTAAGTCTCAATAGTGTCAATAACTAACTTACTGTTGGTCTAAAAAACAGAGTAATGAAATAAGAGGGCTTCAGGAAGCTAACATCTCTCTGGTTTTTAACATAAGAGTAAACCTAGAAAGAAGAGCTAATATTTCCGTTCTAGTGGATCAATTCATTGAGCACTGACATGGCCACAGATAGAGCAAGGGGGCAAAATCATCAATACAATCCTAATCATGTCCAGTAAGAGCTTATCCCAGCTGAGGACTTCACCACAGGCAAAAATCCATTTAGATTTAAGATGTACAACAGTGGATTTCAGTATTTCAGTCAATAGTGAAATGAAAGACCCAAGGTGATGGCTGCTGCAGCCAGAATGAAATCAAAATGCCATGTGTGGCTCAGAGCAGCCTCAGTCCTGCTCTGCCCTGTCCAGCTCAGGCTCCTCACCCCTTCCTCCTCATAGAGTTTAATCTCATACCACATAAACTCATGGCTGGTACTGCAATTCCAACCACAATCCCCATCTGAAAGGTATTTTTTAAGTGCAAGAATTAAAGAGATAATTCCCCCAGCTCCAGTACTGATTTCTCCTGAGCGCTGTAGGTTGGGCTTTGAAAAGAAAGCTCCAACCACACCTGAGGGCACATTTCAAAACAGCTCTCCCCCTGTCAGCCTGCAGACAGGCCACCTCTATCACTCCAAAAATGAACTTCATTAAAGAGAAAGGAATAAATTCATCTGAGATAGATCTTCAGTGGCAGCACAGTGTGATGTAGATCTCAAATGGCAGCACAGAGTGATGTATGGAGCACACATCCACAAAATGAACGTGTTCTTATAATCATCTTTGAAATTAAAAAAGTCTGATGCCTACCACTGAAAATCAGCATTCAAGGAGACCCAGGCTAAATTTAGATAATTAATCACAAACTTGGACAAGTTATGGTTCCAGACAGAATCAGTAACTCCCAAGACCTTTTCCAGGATGACACTGTTATTCCTATCATGGCACTTGTGGAGGACAACGATTGTAAAGGTACAACAACGAACTTCTCCACCTTTATTCTCCTGACACTCCAGGCCTCCAATTTTACACATTCAGCCACAAAATAAACATAACTTCATATTCCCTTGAGAGGAATTTGGGCTGTAGATTTCTAATACTTAAAGAACATCCAGGATAGTTTTTTAATTAAAAAAACCCCTGTATTTTCTTTTACTCGATTAATCAGACATTTTTAAACAAACGAAAAATCTTTTCTATTCTTTTTGTACGATGTGAGAGAGATTAAATATGTAGTTTAAAAGTCCCCAGTTTCATCCCTACAGACTCAGGGATGTGAGATACACCCACTGTTCCACAAGTTAACTCACAAATTACTCCTCTGCGAAAATCAGGAAAGGGTCATTTTATCCTCTCTGATGTTTCCAGTATAAGCAGTGAGGAGGTGGAAGAGAATAAAATAGCAACTTCATGGCATTGTGAAAACTGTGGAACAGTTTGATGCCACCCTTTACTCTTCCTCCACGCTGAGTATGTTGATTTCTCTGGGTCTGAGGAACAACACCAGGTAGTAAAGGCACAGCAGCGAAGGAGGGAAGAAAGATTTATTTGTGCCTCTCTTTCCTCTCATCCTTAAGCTCTGAAAGCCAGCAGCTATCCAACAGCGTGGGAGGGTGGCAGAGAGAGGCAACAAATATGGTAAAGGGAGAATCTGATGTCCTCTTGGCTACACCCCAGTGGAGTGTCAATCACAGTCTCAGGAGAAGAGAGAAGGCAGGGAGGTTAGACATGCATGAGGCCTTCACAGAGACAGCACATGACTTCTGAATTCAATTTTCATCTTCTGATGAGATTCCTAGTTCTCTTTCTTCTACCCAAATGCAGATTAGACAGATATTTTGCTTTATGATCACAGCTTCCATCAAGTTAACACACTAAATCCACTCCCCTGGAGGGGATGGTTCAGGCAATCAGTCAGACAAACCACTGGTGTACAAAGTGTAGAGATTTAAAGAAAACACAGCATAAATTTTACTTGTAGTATGTCAAAAAAATGTAAGAAAAGAGAACAGATCTACTGCAGATTGAAGCCAGGAAAGCCAATCATTAAATTTTACTTTTTCTTTTTTTCCTAACCTGCCTTACCGTTTGCTGCAGGTCAGGTATTATAATTCGAATCACCAATGTGTTGCTCTGACTGTCCTCCATTCTGCTGCTTGGCTTTTCTGCAGTTGCTCTAATTGTGTCATAAATAGTTTCTTCTTTGGAACTGTCTGATTCAGATTCCACAGAATAGTCGGAAAAGCTTTGTGCCATTTCATCTTCACTTGATGTTGGGCTACGAGGCATGTTCAAGTTTTTTACCCTGCCAATACAAAGGAGAAAAAGGAAAAAAAAAGTTACAGTTAAGAAGTCTTAAAGATTAATCAACCACGAAGTTTTGCTTTCTTGGAAATAACATGCATTTAACAAAGGAGTTTCATCCTCCTTTTATTTTTGTCTGTCAATTATGTGGGGAGGTAGAGTGTAAAGGAAATAAATCTATCTACCAATTTACTACAGAAGAGGAAAGACAGGAGAAGCTAAAGAGAGTAATAAAGAGTAAGATAACCTTTCTTCCCAGGCACACCCAGCCTCCCAAAGGATCCAGAAACCCCGTCCTAACTAGCATTGTTGTAAACTATACTTAGAACAAGGTCTGGCTTTGAAGTCTCCGTCTCCCAGTGAAAAGACATTTCAGGAAATTAATGTAAGTGCTAAACTAACATCATCCTGTACACACTGAGAAACTGCACAGGTGAGGCTTCCACAAAAGTCAGCTTTTTCCAATTGTGGAATTAACCAAAATATGAAATACTACAGGGAGCCAGACAAACACAGATGTTGCTCTGTGTTTTGTGGCTCACACAACATCCTTTTCTATCAACACTATCCAAATCTGTCTATTAAACACACTCAAATACAGAGCTCAGAAACATTTTTAATCTGTGATATAGATTAGGATGAAATTAAAATAATTTTAGTCCAAACTAAAGACATTTGCATTTGAAGTTCTCACAGTAAGATTAGCAGAGTATCTTCCTTCTGGGTTTTTCCAGCTACAACATCAGCAGAGTGTTTCTTGTCCCACAGACTCAAAGCTTCACCAGGAAATTAAAGTTATTATTCTATGGAAAAATGAGGATAAAAATTATACTGGGGAGGAAGGGGTGGAATCTAAAAGACCATCATATACTTTGCAGTGCCTGGTACCAATACTTTTTCAGTTTTTAAGAGGTCAGAAAACATACCATTATTTTTCATTTTTTTCCTTAAGAAATCTCCCAAGACAACTTTTCTGCTTTTTAATAAAAAAACCCTTAGCGAAAAGAAAAAAAAACACAAAAAAACCAAACAAAAACAAAACAAAAAAAACCAAACAAAATGAAACAAAACCACCAAAATCCAACCAACCAACCAAAAACCACAACCAATTCCACTGTCAACTCCCATTTAAAAAGAGACATTAAAGCAAAAGTAAAGCACAGAAGGGTGAAGTGACTTGGCCAGGGTCACTCACATAGCAGGTGAATGCACTGAGACATCCAAGTGTATGTTTGCTATAATGATCTCACAGCCAGATCCCCCAAAGTAAATAAAGCTGAACAACAGCAAGGCCCAAGAGAACATTTTTTACCACTGTGTTTAACAGTTTAGTTTGAGCCAAGCAAACATCAGAACCAGCTTAGTCAGTCCCCCTGGGAGCCTGGTCATTCCCAAGGCAGTGATTCCAGGGATCAAAGGCTGCCACTCGCATTTAGGATCTGAAGGTGCCCGTGTGCTGGACAGCCCCGAAGCCTGAGGTCAAGGGCAAGTGTTTCCAAAGCACATCACACCCCTACATCAGCGAGCCTTGTTGTTATTTCTGATGAAAGATAATTCCAGTGTTATTAATACCCTCAGCTATAATTACTAATGAAGACAAAAACTGTGCATTCAGAAATCTGAAAGCATTCCACTTCCCAGCAGCTTAATGCAAGGCCCTATTTACAAAAGAAAACTCTGGAGGGAGTATTTCATTTTTTTGCTGCTTCACTGAACTGTAGATTAATGCTGCTCTCCAAAGCACCTTAAGCCAATAAAAAGCCTAAACATTTTGATGGCTTCTTTATTTATCTACCAATACTAAAAAAATGTGAACCCAAAATACAGCAGGGCAACACACACTGTTTAGGGCATCAGAAGCGAGTGATTGTGAGCAAAAAGACATAAAGACAATCACATGGTTTGTCTCTCCCTAAAGCCATTTGTGAGTGCAACATATTCCAGGGCAAGGGATTCAACAGAGAGCAGTAATCTGCAATTACACAGCAAAAAAATAAAGAGCTAAGGAAAAAAACTTCCCAAGGTTTTGGCAAGTGGATTTTCATGCAAGTGCTACCCAGAAATATCTCATTATAGAATAAGAAAGGGAAATCACCAACGTGGGCCGGGAATAAGACTCGAGACCAGCGGGGTTCTAGAACAGAGCTGCCAGATGAAATAAGCTGAGCTCACATTGCTGCCTTCCCCTTGCAGATGCTATTTTTAGATTTGTTTTTCCTCTGTCTTTCACAAAATTCTCCAGGAATTTCTTGTCCTGCTATATGTTACCACCATACCATTAAGGAGAGTTTAAACCAGTCTAAACCATGGGGATGTGGTATAACCATCAAACTTTTTCTTTAAAAAAGAAAAAACCTCTAAAAGGTTAGAATTAACAAGAAATTCAACTCTCAGAGCTCACTTACTATGTCTGAAAGGTGTTCTCTGATGAGTGCAAACTGACACAGCAGGGGAAAAAAAGCAAGAGCAGTGACAGACTCATGCATTTTTTTGAGCCTTGTTAAACATCACATGAAATTAACTTACTAAATATGAATGTCTAAATTTATTTTTAACTGTCTTAAGTATTATAAACTTGATAAGAAGGGGTTGAAACCTGATATGAAAGGGCTTAAATTATCATCGATGGGGACACACCTTGCATGGAGATCTTCATTAAACCCATTTGTTATTATAAAATACACACAACACTCACCCACTACAAAAAAATCACGTTTTAAGGTCTTCAACTTATTATGGCTATGTGCAATTTTGCTGATCCTGCAAAGTAACAAACTCTCCTGTCTAGTTTCACACTGGTAAATATGGAACACAGTGATCTCTACAGACAAAAAAAGCTGCTCTAAAAGATCTGTTCCATGTAAGGTCCGTATATTGTACGTAGCCCTAAAACCAAGGTTAAATTTTGGTAGGGAAAGCACAATAAAGGACACAGAGGGATACAGTTCTTCTTTCCCCAACCTGTGAGATTTTGGTTTTGTTCATGTGAACATAGGTTGGAGTCTTACAGGACTGGAAATTGGGACTAATCACAGTATTTAGGAGTTCTCTCTAAAATACAGCTGGGACACACATCAAATACCTTGTCCAAGGCCAGCAAGGCCAGGTCTCAGAGCAAGGTTTCAGATTCAAGGGTCACTGGCTCCCAGTCACAGTAAGAACAATCGATTTTTATGTAAACACTCCTTTGCACAATCCCAGCCCTGTCGCCTGCAGGGAGCAGCCCTCTAGGCTGCTCTTGTCAGGAGTTCCAAACCCACCTGTGGGAATGTCTGCAGTACAGAGGTGGCATTGTTTGGGCTGTGCAAGGCCATTAACCAGACTGTGAGAGAAGGTTATTGTTAGAGCAACAGTCACTGCTAGAAAGAGGTGCTTCATTATTAACTCTGAAGAAAAACTATTCAGGAAAGGGATTTCTGTCTGTGTAAAACCTGCCAGGAGCTCCTAACACTGTGGCTTTACTCAGGATTATACATATCAGCTCAAGAACCAGTTCAACAAGTTATTAAATTAAAATTCTGGAGAAGATCAAGCATTGCCTTTTCTAATTACAGCAATACTGTAAAAACAAAAAAGCATTTCAGAGTGAAGATGTGGGAGTACAATCCCAGCACACCACACTTTTCACCCAGTTCTCCAGAAAAGGTCGTGCAGAAGAAAATCTGAATTGCAGACCAGCTCCAAAGGGCAGTTTGCAATTTGATGGGTTTAATCTCACGCTGCACTCCTACTTTAAACTGGCATTAACCAGCATTGCCTCCTGAAGCAGCAATCCCACCCTCCCTCACCTGCAGACCACCTCACTCTTGTCCCCAGACTGCTTTAATCTCTGCATTAGCACAAACAGCAAAGCAGAACAAAACACCCATCCAGCTGAAACTCCAGCTTTTCTATGTTTTGGGGGCTTGGTTCCAGCATCCATCACGTCTCTGGATCACTATGCAAATGTTTGCAGAAGCAGCAGGAGGAAGATGGCAGAGGGCCAGAAGGGAACAGCCAGGGCTTGAAAAGGGCAGAACCACTTTATCCGAAGGCAGGATTAATGTTTGCCAGCAAAAAGGGAATCTGAGACACCACCAACTGAGTGATAGGAAAGAAATCTGCATAAATAAGGTCATCTGATCAACCCCCATGGAAACATGTTATTAGTACCCAAATATCCACTGATACAAAACTCATCCAGGCGAATGCAAAACCTAAAAGGAAAATATCCACAGGAAGAAAGCCAGGACACACACAAGAAATGATAACCAGCCCACAGCAAAAGCTCAGGGGGGGTGAGGCACTTGGAGCTCCCCTACTCCCACTGGACAGGGACAACCACCCTCCTAATTCCAGTTTTATTCCCCATACAGCTGTCCTTCACTTAAATTCACTGTGGCTACACTGCCTGGTTATGTATTTTTGATCTCTCTGTTAAATAACTGAAACACCCAAATAAATATTTTAGAAGATGTGTGCTGACATAAGAATTCATATACCAGAATGACAAGGAAAATTCCTCCTGTGCTTGTCTCTGAAGCTGTTTCTCAATCTCTTACTTCAAAACTGAAATATTGATCTGAAATCAGAATTGAAAATTAATGGTCACATCCATTTGCTCACACCCAGCTCAGAAGATTCTTCTTACTGCCCTGTTTCAGGGTAGGTTTTAAGCACAAATGACAAATTGCTTTGCAAAGGAGTGGGACTTTACCACATTCTTTGTTTTTTAAGAAAAAGAAGGAGAAAATTGAGTGACTAAATTGTTGAACCTGCCTCTTATTTCTGAGGCAGCTTGTTATCCCATTTTCACGTATGTGTGCACAACACAGGCTTGCCAAGAAGAGGTTAAGCCCCATTAACTTCTGGTATTTAGAGTCTTAAATACCAACATCATATGATCAAAGTGGGGTTTAAGCTCACACTGTAAGAATGTATTTATTTTTTAAACATCTGTACTTCACCATTACCACACACAAAATCTACACACAGCCTATTTCTGTAAATACACGGCGGGGG